TCTTCTGCAATTCTTGAGAGCTTATGGGCCTCCATTCCCCCATTTGTTTCTATTACATTGTATTTGGTCTCCCATCAATGCCTTTTCTTGTGGGTCATGCTATCAACCTCGGAATTTAAACTGGACCCTATTGTGCCTATTCAAAAGGAGTAGATATAAAAATACACAAATCGATCTCAAAATTGTATATAAATTCTACACAATTTATATGATTGGATAAGATTTTTTAGAACTATGTTTCACTAACAATTCGGTAAAATTTTGTCCATTTATTTGTGAATATTTGAACTAATTGTTCCTTATTCAAGCACTCTAATTGTTTGAGACCCTATAAAAATGCTCTCACAATTTGACCAATAGAAATGTGACATGTTGTGTGTCAATTTTTTTTTATTTATTACACACTAAATCATACAAGGCCCAACTTCTGCCCATGTAATTAAAATAAATATATTTATATCACTACTTAAATAAAAACAATATTCATATTTCAGTGATTTGGTGCATTCTTATGCACTCAAAATTAAGAGGTTAAATTTTACTAATTCATTTATAATTTATTTTTCATCTCTAACGACAAATTATTTTTAAACTTATGCATATATTAATATGTAGACGTATATACAATGACTATTAGTGGCATAAATATATAAAATTCAATACCATGCAAACATAACAAAATTAAATAATATAATATAAATATATTATATGTGTAAGTTATAAGTCTACCCATAATTCAATCTATAAAAAAAAAAAATATGTTAATTACCTGAAAGCTCTATTCACAAATACTATAGTAGCTCAGGTCCTATCTAAGGCTGTGTTTGGTTTGTAATTCAAACCGTGATTCCACACTTGTTATCGACCCTTTGTTTGCTTATAGTTTTCAAATCACGATTCTAAATCATTTTCAAAACATATTTCAAAACATGTTTGGTAGACCAGAGAGTTCAGCCTAGACATCCGCATACACAGTGTTTGAATTTTTTGATCTACCCGGTCGCCCCTCGGTTGTCTGACCGATTGACCGGAACAGTGATTTTTTTATTTTTTATTTTTTTTATATGAACATGAAAAACATGTAAACATGCATGGATTCAAACCAAATTCAATCTTCAATTTGATGCTCTAAGGAGCCAAATCTTTCAAAACATGATGAGTTCATGGTCTCTTGTAAAAATATGAGCATGCATGTAACATTTTTGCCATGAAAACAACTCAAAACTCAACCAAGAACACATGCAAGCATGGAATGAGCTTCAATTCAACATGTATGCACCAAAACATGGCTTAACTCTACAATTAAAGCATGAATTGTGCAAGAATGGATTCTAAGACAACAACAAGAAGATGATGATGTCCTACCTTAGTCTTGTGTTCAAGGTCTAGGAGCTCAAAGTAGCAATCAACACTTCAATTCCAAGCAAGATCAAGCAAATCTCTCAAGAACAACTCAACTCTCTCTCACTCTCTAACTTGGGTCGGTTGAGGCAAGAAGAGGAGAAGAAAATGTTTGTTTGATCAATACGTGGAGTGTATACAAGGTTCAAGAGATAGTGGTCCACTAAGTGGCGGAACGGTAATTAAATCAAACTATGCGATTAATCGATATTTAATCTAATTTAATCATACCTAATCAATTTTCAGATAATTGTACTATAAAATCACATAAATTACGAGGGTCATAGAACACTAATCGGTTTCGGATTCGGCCGCCGATAAGGCCTTCAATTAGCAGTTTAAACACTAAAATACGAACAGATCAAATAAACAATCAACAGATAGAATGCAGTTCAAACAGATGTATTCATTCAATTCAGTTTCAATTTCGGTCAGTCAGTTCAGTACTTTAGTCAGTTCAATTATCAGTCATTATCAGTTCCATTTCGCAGTAATCAATGATTAACGGTAATCATTCAGTCATTAATCAGTAAACAGTATGGGGGTTGTTACAGTGTAATTATATATGTATATATATATAAATATATATTTAATCACACTCCACTACAAGAAAAAGCATCTTTGGCGACTAAAAAAACACATTTGGTCGCTGAAAGTATAAGTTTTGGCAGCTAAAAAAGTATTAGTAGCCAAAAGTAAAGATTTTTGGCGACTAAAAAAATTTAGTTGCCAAAAGTATAGGTTTTGGCGACTAAAAATCTATTTGGTTGCCCATATATGCGTTTTACCGACTAAAAAAATTTTAGTAGCCAAAAGTAGGGCTTTTTGGCGACTAAAAAAAAATTAGTAGTCTAAAGTAAGGTATTGGGTGACTAAAAAGATGTTTGGTTGCCAAAAGTGAGGCTTTTACCGACTAAAAAATTTTAGTTGCCAAAAGTAAGGCTTTTTGACGACTAAAAAAAAATTAGTAGCCAAAAGTATGGTATTGGGTGACTAAAAAGATGTTTGGTCCCCAAAAGTGAGGCTTTTACCGACTAAAAAAATTTTAGTAGCCAAAAGTGAGATTTTTTGGCGACTAAAAAATTTTAGTAGCCAAAACTAAGGCATTGGGAGACTAAAAAGATATTTAGTAGCCAAAAGTGAGACTTTTGGGCGACTAAAAAGAAGTTTAGTCGCCAAAAGTAGTAATATTAGCCTGAGAATTAAATTTTTTAACAACTAAAAAATAATTAGTGGCCAAAAGTATAGAATTGGCGACTAAAATTATGTTTAGTCGCCAAAAGTGGTCTCTTTTTTTTTCTAATAAATATGTTCAATAAAAAATAATTATCTTTATATATATACTTTTATATTAATACGAGTCTATGTACTATATAAATAATATATGTTGCATATATAATTATATGGTGTTATAGAGGTGTAGTGGAAAGAATGTGTTGTATAAGGTTTATGGTGTGAGAGGGTTGATGGTTCAAATCTCCAAGAGCAAATGAGAAGCTAGTGAGTGTAATATTTTTTTTTTCATAACTAAATGTTATTAATCACACTTAATCACACTTAAAAGGTGTGATCTAAATATTTTTAATCACACTTAAAATGTGTAATCTAAATGTTATTAATCACACTTAAAAAGTGTGATCTAAATATTTTTAATTACATTTAAAATGTGTGATCTAAATGTTATTAACCACACTTAAAATGTGTAATTAAAAATGACCTATTTTAATCACACTTCTAAAGATCACACTTACTAAATGTTATTAATCACACTTAAAAGGTGTGATCTAAATATTTTTAATCACACTTAAAATGTGTAATCTAAATGTTATTAATCACAATTAAAAGGTGTGATCTAAATACTATTAATCATACTTAAAAAGTGTGATCTAAATATTTTTAATTACATTTAAAATGTGTGATCTAAATGTTATTAATCACACTTAAAATGTGTAATTAAAAATGACCCATTTTAATCACACTTCCAAAGATCACACTTACTAAATGTTATTAATCACACTTAAAAGGTGTGATCTAAATATTTTTAATCACACTTAAAAGGTATAATCTAAATGTTATTAAACACAATTAAAAGGTGTGATCTAAATATTTTTAATTACATTTAAAATGTGTGATCTAAATGTTATTAATCACACTTAAAAGGTGTAATTAAAAATGATCCCTTTTAATCACACACTCCCAAATATCACACTTTAATAAAACTTAAAAGGTGTGATTAAATAACATACATCACACAAAAAAAGTGTAATCTTTATCTGTTTTTGTAGTAGTGATTCTAAACATAAACCAAACGCTACACCTAAGATTTTTTTTAACCAATAAGTCATATTTTATGATATAATGACTTGTTTGTCCTTCTATCCTTTAGTTTGATTTGATTATTTAGTAAAATTGAAAAATATTATCATTTTTTTCTAATTTTAAAACTCAGAAGATTATCAATTTTGCACAGCAATATTCTAGATAATTATTTTGCTAACTGAGAAGGAAAAAGAAGGTAAAAAAAATATAGCATGAGATTAAACATTTTTTCTTTTTTGCTTTTTGATTTGATTCGACTATCTAATAAAGCTGAGAACAATATTAATTTTTTTTTTAGTTTTAAAACTAAGAACATTATCATTTTTGCGTAGCAATGTTCTATATGGTTGTTTCGCTTTGAGAAGAAAAAAAAAAAGTGCATGAGATTAAATAGGTGATTTTATTCTTATGAATTGGAAATTTGAGAAGATTCGCAACAATGATACCAAAATCAACATTGAAATTGAAATTAAAATAAAAAATGAGGGTTTTGAAATTGAAAAGATTTCTTAAAAAATTAAGGTTGAAGATATTTGAATTTTACTTGTTTTCACCATTTCGTTTCATCGAATATGAAAAGTCAAATTCACTTCCATCATAGCATCGAAACAGGTCTCTTGATTTATAATAACAGCTCTCATAAACATTTTTTGCATCTATAGAAGATATCAAATCATGGAGTCAATCTATATCATTGTCGATCATAGTTTTGCAAACCTCAGGGTATTAGGAAACAAAGTGATTTTCAAGAGCCTGTCGAAGACCACTTGCAATGAGAACTCTTACTTGTTTTCACCATTTTGCTTCTTCGAATTTGAGAATATTCCAACTGAATCAATGTTTGATGATAGTAGATGATTTTCTAACTTTGTTAGTTTAAAATTTGTAAAGAGACAGAGAGAGAGGAATAAAAATAGTAGAGAAATTTGAAATTTGTGGAGAGAGAGAGGGTAACAAAAACAGTAAAGAAATCAGGGAGCATTTTGTGTTTTTGAATTTATAAAAATAGATTGTACATATAAAATTAACTGAAGGCTTATAAATTAAAAATTTTGTGAGTAGAATTTAAATTATTATTATTTATCAAAATAAGACTTGATTGTAAATTTTCCAAATAAAATGTCCGCCCATAATTGTCTGCCCCAAACAGGCCTGAAATTAAGCCCATTAAATCATAAGTGAATTTGGGCGGGCCTTCTGGCAGTGAGGGTTAACGGGTCGGGTCGAGTTCGCCAATGAACTCTCCTTTCATCGTGCTGTCAAAAGCTTTCAGTTCAGAAGGGAGAGAGAGGGAGAAAGAAGGGAGGAGAGAGAGAGATGGGTTATTCCAAGGATCAATTGCTCGCATGTTTACAGGTCTCTCACTCTCTCTCTCATATTTCATGCCTATTGATTTTCACTCTTATCTCTTTGCTCTTGCCTTTTTTTTTTTCCTCTCTCTCTCTGCTGTTGATTTGATAATGCATTAGTTTGCTCTAATTATATTCTCACTATTTACAATTTTAATTGATTTTTTTTTTTTTTTTGGGTTATTGGGTCTTCATTCACTAGCATGGTGATGCTCTGTTGAAAAGGATTAGAAACTGTCTTCTGAATTGAGATTATGATTACTGAACAAGAAGCACAAGAGGGATTCTGACTATAATCATAATCGTAATAATATTTAGATTTAGGTATTATTGTAAAGCACAGCTTTATCCGTGGTAAAGCATTAAACTTTGTAGAGTTTCTTTTCAGATTTTTCCTCTATGTTCCTTATTTTGCTAGCAAATTGTGAAGATATCTCAAATCATGACTATTTTCTTGTTTTGCCACTTTGCAACTTGTTTAGATTGAAGGGTTTGGTGAGAAAAGGAAAGAAAATATATGGAGAGAAGGAGGTGAGAAATGGTGAGAAAGGGAGAGAAATAGAGATAAAAGAGGTCTCTGAAAACTCATGTTTTGTTTCTCACCAAAATTGGTGAGATTTTGGCTCCCTTTGTTTTGCAGTAAAATATTTTACATGTAAAATGATTTTGCCCAAAAACAAATTTTTGTTTTTTGTTTTTTGGTGTTTGGTTAGTACTTAAAATATTTTCTACATCAAAAATCTTAATAAATAATCACTTGTAGAATAAATTTTAAAACGAAAATGATATTCATACATAATTTTCATGTAGAATTGAACACAAATGATATGGCAATATTATTCTTACAAATTATAATAATAAGAATTTCAACTTTTAGTAAGTGGATATGATTGTGACACATTATTATATATAAATTTTTTGTATACAAATTCTGTTTGTATATCATTACTAAAGAATAAATAAGACAAAGATTGAATGTAGCAAAAATAACAATTCCAGAACAGAACCTAATTCCGATCAATTGCTCAACCATAATATATGTATATGTATAGGTATATATATGTAGAGAGATTTCATATGTTCAATGTGTATGAAAGTAGTGAACCTTGTAAGCAAAAAAAAATTAATAATAATAATAGTGAAACTTGATATGTACTTCAAGTAGTATCAACTGTGATGAGGAAAAAGAAAATAACATACGAAATTTTAAACGTAAATCATTTTACGCTTTATGATGTAAAATATGGTACTTACTTTTTATCCAACCAAACAACGGAAACTAGGGAAAAATATTTTATGGTGAAACAAACGGAGCCTTCGTGAGAAACAAAAACTTCTGTTAGCCAGTGTTTGGATCATAGATTTGGGTAGGGATTTGGAAAGGGAAAGAAAAAAGGTAGGTGAAATGTAGGTATATTTAATTCATATTTCACCTGCATTTTCCTTTTCCCTTTCAAAATTCTTACCAAAATCCATAATCGAAACACAGCGTTAGAGCAAATCCTTAGGGTTCAAGTCCTTTATCTGGACATTGATATTAATTTTTGAGATGGGGATTAATTTGCTCCAGGCATTTTCAGCGCCTCCTTACTGTAATAGTAGCCATTTTTATCAATCAAAGTTGTTTCTTTATACAACTTGGTTTCATCAAATTCATGGATAGGAGAGGTTAAGCCATCCCTTAGGTTATATTTGCACATATAGAATAACATGTTTCTGTGCGAAATAACTTGTTTTTGTTGTTACTCCCCACTCCCATCTCACTTCTAGGATTGATATAAAAAAGAGATAATTGTAATACCTAGCTGTATTTTATAATTGTAATAGCTAGATAATTGTTTTGCACGTATCATATTTTGTTTGAACCAATCTATAGCTTACAATACATTTAGTTAGTGGCTACAATTTATATTATTTTTGTGATGACGACTTAATTTTATGAACTAGGAACTTATCTTAGGCTCCCTTTAGATCAGTGGCTTTAAAATTAAGGGATGTGGATTTGAGAATGAATTTTATAAATTATAAGAAAGATAGCTATTAAAGGTAATTTGATAATTCTAAAATAGAGTTAGGGGTAGGAGAAATGTATTTGGTTAAGATCTTTGTATAAGTAGCATCCTTTTTGGAAGGATTTCAATTCACCATGCATTTTCAAATCCATCAATGCAGAACTCTCAAATTCATTCTTGAAATTTAAATGTAAGTAAGGTTATAATACTCTTTCAATTAGTAATGCCAAATCCATTCATTTCAAATTAATACATCCAAATGCAACCTAAACTTTGTAGCACATAGCTATTTTATATTTTGTGAATAGCTTGATATTAAGTCTTGATATGAACTGGTGATAAGTGAGATCTTCTATCTTTTATTCTCTTGAAATTTTGTATATTCTGTTCTGTTGAAACTGATTGTACATTGGATGTGGTTAGGAGCTTCAAATTGACTCTACCCAATATGATCATCCTATTGCTTTGACGGTAGAAGCTCAAGTAAAAGAAAATTGCAAAATCATGGGTAGTGTTTGGTAGAGTTTTAGAATTATGATTTGAGAATATAGTTGTATTTTGAGTTTGTGAGTTTTGGAATTATGATTTGAGTGTGGAAAATTTGTTTGGTTATGAGTTTTGAAAAGAGTTTTTAAATTGAGTTTGAATTGAGTGATATGACGTATAATATTTAATACAAAAACTTACAATTCATAACCAAACACACAATCCAAAATTCTATTCAAAGCTCATAAAATTTTTTTAAAAAAATTCACAAATATTTTTTTTTTGTAATATAAAATAAAATAAAATAAAAAAACCAAACACTGTTCCGGTCAACCGGCCGGACGACTTTACCGCCTTGGAAAGAGTTTTCAAAAGTGAGTGTGAAATTAATTTTTAAAAACACTAAACAAACACCACACTCAAAAATGAGTGTGAAACTATATTTTGAAAGCTCCACCAAACGGAGCCTAAGTTATTCCCACCTCTTTTTTGTACTTTGAAGCAACTTTGTTCATTCCTCATCAGGCTAAATATGTTGGTCATGTGAAAGGTGCATTTAGTAAAAATCTATTCCTAAAGGTATAATATTTTAGGACCTGGAAAGTCACTTTATTTATCCTCCTTCCCTCTCTCTTGGCGGTAACTTGTGCACACCTTTTCCCTCTATGTTAATGATTTCATACTGCATACTTGTACTTGTTATTACATGCAGGATAAGAAACATAGGTTTTATGTTGTTTCTGCTTTTGCGGATACCAAAGTAGATCTGAAGGGTAATATATTTTCTTATATTAATCACTTCTTTTCTATTCCAAAGTTCGACTGGCTTAGATAGATGTCTCCAGACTCAGTTTTTTATATGTTTATATGATTGTATTTTTGGTTTTTAGCCTTTTATTATTATTTTTAGTATCCTAGTCTCCTAGATGTTCATTGGAATTTTTCGTGGCCTTGAAGCTGAGCAGTTCTATCTCAGAGACTTGGTTTGGGAAAAGCAGGTTTAAGAATGGCGCCTGGAGAAGCACTGCCAGAAATACTTCAGGCATGTATATGCTATTAAGTCTTTTAACATATGTTGTTATACTTGATCAATTGAGAATGTCATATGTTGTCTGTGCTTCCTTTGCAGTAGCCCAGTAATCCCCTCTCCTGGCTTCCCAATGCTGTTTCTGATTTAAACTGCACTTCATTTTGAAGTCTATGTCTAAGCTGTATTCCTTTCATGTTTTAAACCAAACCCATGCATTTCTAATCTATAAATCCAAACACATTTATATTTAGATTTTCTTGTAGAGGTGCAGAATTCTTTCTTATACAAGAAGGGACAAAATTAAGTTAATAAAAACTTGGCAAGGGATTTCAGTTACTACTTTTTTCTTCTGAAACTCTCCTGAAACAAAATTGTATGATTGTTGCTAAGCATAAATACTGAGTTAAAGAAATTAAAAGGTATAATTTTTGTCATCCTATATCTTTTTGGCACTCATGAATTCATCCGTCTCGCTTATGTTCTTGTAACCCATCTGTCTCATTATCCTCCTGATGTGCTCCTTTAATGGATATATTTCTTGACTACCTTGGATTTTGCAGCATAAAAGCATCTTTTTGTATTATAAAACCGTCTTTCTAAATTTGGTATTAGTGGTTTGTCCCATCATGTTTTTTGGTATTTATTCAGTTATTCTAGGGAGGAAGAATATTTCTATCTGGACAATTACCCCGGGCATGTTGTTTCATCAACTCATGTTTGGGGAGGAGGTTTCATTCTCATGAACAATAGTCATTCTTTATGTATTATTCACACACATATATGTATAAAAATATGTATGTATAGATTACAATAGATTTGATTATGACTCAATCTTTGACACTGTTTCTTACTCTATTATTTTCAAGGTGCCTCTGGGTTGTGTTACTCCATTTGCACTAGTGAATGATTCAGCCCGGTATGTTTCTAAGCTTCAGTAGGCTGTTAGTTGAGATCATTTACCTGTGTTGCAATGTCCATTGAGATAAATAAGTCATACATATTTATTTTTTTTATTTTTTATTTTTGGTCTAAATGATTTCCTGCCTTCTCTTTTGTGAAGGCATGTCTCCTTGTTAATGGATAAAGGATTTAAAGATCAGGAGTGCTGCTTCTTCCATCCGCTGTTAAATGATACATCAATCTGTAAGCGACAAGGCTTTCTTAATGAAGCCATATTTCTTTTAGTTATTTGTATTTCATACATCAATCTGCCCTATTTCCCGCATGACATGACATTTTTAATCTCTGCACTGATATACTATTTTTGGCAACCAGTGCTTCATTGGAAAATTCTTTTTCCAATTATTGTTGATAGTCTGTGGCACTGCCTTAATATATGAAAATTACTTTCTTGTCTGCATGTTTACCTGATGATTATTTGGTCTCTGAATTGTGCTGGTTCCAGCACTAAGTGTCCATGATCTTGACAAGTTTCTCAAATAGATATCAAATAGATAGGAAAAGACCCAACCTATGTTGATCTGGAGATAATTTGTTTGCTTCCTGAGTGAATTTATCTAATTATTTTGGGTGGATTTTGAGATTAAAAATGATTCTCCTTTCTTTCTTTCTGGCTAGCCCTCCTCCTGATCTAGCAGCTTTTGTTCCATCTGATGCCATAGTCCTGCAAGAAGATCCAGAAAAGGCAGCTCCCCCTCAAGTTCCTGAAAAAAAAATTGTTGCTGCGAATAATTAGTCCACAACTGTTACTGGTATGTGATTCAACAATCAGACATTATTTGGCTCAGTAAAGCAATTTTGGTGTTTTAATTTGTTATTTTTTCAAACATTATATTTTCCATGGATTAATTTTCTCAATGCACATTGCAAGCGCATTTTGGTTCCTTCTGGAATGAAATTCTTTTACCCTTTTTTTTTTTTGGATCAGCAAAAGGAATTTTATTGATAAATACTGTAAAACACGATACATCAATAAAGAAAAGGTGGATGCACAAGCATCATAGCCAAGGAATATGATCCCAACTAGGTTGGCACCATAGACAAAGCCCAATCATCTGCAGCATTGCATCAAGTTGGTGAGCAACCAACTAAAAGGACACCTAAAACCAACCCACAAAAAACAGCAAAGGGTCAACACCAAAAATCCCCAAACTACAACATCAGCAAACACATACTCAAAAAACAAACCAAAAACAAGTAACAGCAGATCTCCAAATACACCAGGCCACCAAGACTCTCAACCTAGAAAGCACGGATACAGATACAAGATACGGATACGATACGATACGATACGGATACGGCGATACATCCAAACCTAAAAAAGTAGGATACGGGTACGGCTAGGATACGTTTGTAAAAAATAAAAAATAAAAAATAAATAAATTATTAGCAATGAGTTACACATAAGCTCAAGAATGTTGAGAAATCACAGTAACTTTATAATGCAAAATACTAATCTTTAAGAATTAGGTATTAATTTAAACTAATAGCTAGTTTAGTTTTTAAATTTTTAATAGGTCTTGCAAGTATTTCATTTCAATATCAAGTCTAATATGTTGATATTATAATATCAAAACAATCCATAACTTGACCCTATGTTTTTTCCTTTTGCACTAGTCAAAAATATTCTATGCAAGTTTATTTTCTTATTTATTTATTGATATTTAATTTTACTATTGTTATATTGTCTTATTAATCCTTACTTCTATGTAGTTATAGGGGACACGCATGTTATAATGAAGATATGCCAATTTGATGACTTCTATTATTTGAGCTTACTATGTTATTTTTATAAAAAAAAAAAACTAAGCAAAGTATTGTAAAAATATTCTATTTATTCTCGCAATTATATTATATCATGATGTTATGCAAGAAATAATACAATTCTAATTTCGTAAAAGGAGTAATACGTGACTTGGAGGATTTGATACTTCAAAATTAATTAAGAAGTATCCGATAATATGTGAGTCGGAGTATCCGATACTTCAAAACTAAGTATCCGATACTTCAAAATTAATGAAAAATTAATTAAGAAATATCCGATACTTTTAATAAGTATCTGATATGTATCCGTAAGTATCCGAGGAGTATCGATATCCAATACGGATACGATACGGATACGTCTTCCTATTTGAAGTATCCGTGCTTCATAGCTCTCAACTCCATCAGTCAGCACTCCCTTGAATAGCACATAAAACTAAGGCATCCAACCCAAACTCATTACACTGCCTCAAGGTGCACCCCTCGAACCACCTCCCAAGCAGAATCTAATGTGTTCCAGATTAAAAATAAAATCATTCACTGTGAACATATGATCCTTAAACACTTTCTTGAACCAAACAGTCATTCTAAACTTAATCAGATCCCTCACACCTACCACATTTGGAACAACATCCCTAAATAAGCACTCATTTCAATGATTCCACAGAGACCACATTACAACCAAAGGAAGAGCTTTCCACATCATCCTCTCTTTTTTGCTAAGCCTCATCCCTGCCCACCAATTAAGAATAGCCTTCACTGTATTTGGCAATGCACCTTGTACATCCCACCATCTTAGCATTTTTTACCACTCTCCAAGCATCTGGACATGACAATAATACATGGTTAAGTGACTCATCCACAAATTTGCACAGACTGCATACTGAAGATACATCAGCATTCATAACACCAATCCTGATAAGAAAGTCTGCAGTCTTTAACCTTCCTTTCCATGCTAGCCAACCAAAAAATTGAACTCCAGGGGAAATGTACTTGACCCAAATCCTTTTGCTAATTGGACTAAGGCTTCCAAAACCACCTGCCATAAATTTATACACTGATTCAACTGTAAATCTCGCCATTTTAGAAGCATTCCAAACTAGTCTATCTTCTGAGGATGGCCTAATAGCAAGACCTGCCTCTAGCCAATCTGGTGGTCTCCACTCTTTCCCATTCATATAATTCCCTTCTATACTGAAACCTCCACTCACCAGTATCCTCCTTCCTTTCCACCATAGCAGATAAAGGCACTCCCTTATTTGCTACGAATCTATACAAGAGTGGGAATTCATATTTGAGATGTAAGTTACCACACCATTTATCAACCCAGAACTTGACTCTATGGCCATTACCCACTTGCACCTTACAATTATCCAGAAAAAACTCCTCCAGTCTGCTATTCTGTTCATTGCCCGATATTATATCCTTTCAAATTTTAGGGCACTTGCTATTTAGGCTAATTGAAGGCCTCCAATTCCCCTCCTCAATCCTATATTTACTACAAATAACTCCTCCACAATGCTTTGCTCTCAACACCAAACCTCCACCACCATTTCAATAAAAGACAATCATTGACCTCCTTAACTCTCCTAACCCCCAAACCCCCTTACTCAACTGGTTTGGATACTTCCTTCCATTTTACTAGGTGAACCTTCTTTCTCAATTCAGATCCTCCCTAGAGGAATGAGGCCTGAATCTTGCCCAGTTTTCTACCAACCCCCTGTGGCAATTTATATAGAGACAAATAGTGTATAGGCAAAGAAGAAAGAGCAGATTTTTTTAAAGTGAGCCTCCCTGCAAATGAAAGTAATTTCCTTTTCCAACCTGCCAGTTTGCTTCTAACTTTGTCCAAAACAAGTCTCCAAGATGCTTTTCTTCCTGGGTTAGCACCCAATGGAAGTCCTAGGTATTGAAATGGCAGACTTTTCACTTTGCAATTTAACACTGATGCAAACTCATTCATATTTTCAACTGGAACACCCACTCCCCATTCGACGAACTCGCCCCCTTTTTGTATATACTGTCGACTTGCTATTGGCGAGTGGAGTTTTTCTATATTTGGATGATAGATTCTGCCGTTGGTTCCAGTGAGATTGGAAAATCTCGAGTTGGAGGTTTGAATTTTCTTCTTGTATTGAATCATGCCATGGAGGTGAGGGTTTCCATCTTCGTGGAGCTCTCTTGCGACAAGTATGTAGTATGGCTGACAGGCTAGTTGGAGAAGGGATTGAAGGAGTTCTAAGAGTTGTTCTTTTGGGCATGGGCATTGTGGGTATGTGAGGGAAACATTATTAGCATAAAAACGGAAAGAGGCTTGGCGAGGCATTTTGTAGTGGTAAATAGTGAACTCACACCAACTGTACAAGGCCTCCCTATTAGTTAAAAAACCTGGTGTGAATGGTGTGAGTGGTGTGAACAGGGGGCACTGTATTAATAGTTAGAAGCTTTCTCAAAGTCTAGCTTTATGATCAAACCTCTTTTCCTAGATTTCTTCCAACTATCCGCAACCTCATTGGCTACCGACACTCTATCTAGTATGTTCCTTCCTCCAATAAATGCTGATTGATTTTCACTAATAATTTGAGGAATCACTGGCTTCAACCTGGAGGATAGAACCTTAGTAAGAATTTTATATAGTGAACCAACCAAACTAATTGGTCTGTAATCAGCTAAACCCCGCTGGATTCTCCTTCTTAGGGACCAAAGTGATGAAGGAACTGTTGACCCCTTTAACCAGTTTACTGTTTTTATGGAATTCTTTTACCTTGATTACATTTGCAATGAGTCTATTTTATTATCAATTGCAACTAAAATGACCTGTACTCAAGTATTGAACATTTACATAGGATTCTTGTAGTGTTTGATATACATTTTATCATCTCATCTTTTTCAAAAGCCTTTTCTTTTATTAATGGACGAATTACACTACCCGTCCCTGTAGTTTGGGACTTGCGTCACTTTGGTCCCTGACTTTTTAATTGTGATACATTTGATCCTGAATTTTAAATCTTGTTTCAAACAAGAATAATTAAAGATGTTTTCTTTGCAAATGATCCATTTTAAGGGCAAAGTTGTCGTACAACTTATGTTGTGTTGGTTAACTCGTATGTTGTTTGATGATGGCATTTTTTTAATTGAATAATGCTGGAACTTTCTTGGTTATAAAGTTCTGTTTGGTTTGATTTTCATAATCTATTTTGAATTTTTTTTTCTAAGAAACTAAAAATTAAATTGGTGAAAAAAAATAAAAACACATCATTTTTATATAATTTTATCTTTTGGGAGAGTAGAAATAATTTTTTGAAATAATTTTTTTTATATTTATCTTCGTTAAATTAGTTTCTATTTTTTTAAAAGTCAAACATGGTGACAATTTTGATATCATTATTAAACCAATCCATTAAATCAAAAAATTCAAAACTAAAAATATTTTATATATTAAACATATCGATTATACATTAAAAGTCTAAGAACTATTCATTACATGATAACCATCCAAAAATATTTGTTAACAACAAATATAACCATCTATTACATGACAACCATAAAAAATATCAACAAAAATAGTCACCCATTGTATGATCATTATCCAAATACATACTAAAAATTAATTTGGTAAAAAAATAAAAATAAAAAAAATGTAAAAGAGTTATCATTTTTATATAATTTTATCTTTGATGGGTAGAAATAATTTTTAAAAATTCAAAATAATTTTTAAAAATTCAAAAATAATTTTTGACATTTATTTTTATCGAACAAGTTATATTTTATCAAATTGGCGACTTTGCCTTTGAAATGGCTCAACGGTGTCTTTAATTGTCCTTATTTGGAATGAGATTCAAAATTAAAAATCAAATGTATCACAATTGAAAGGTCAGAAATCAAAGTAACACAAGTCCCAAATTACAGAGACCGTTAGTGTAATTCGCCCTTTATCAATTCTAAAACCACATTATCTATTTTGGTCTGGGATTGTGAAAGGATTAGAAAGGCTTTAGTACCTTGAAGTCTTGGTATCCAATGTTTGAAAGGGTCCGTCCTATGATGCAAGTAAACAACAATACATCTTAAATTGTATGAGCTGTGGGGGCCTCATGAAAGCCACTTGAGATATGCTTAAGGAAAAAATCATTTCCTGCTTGAGATATACAGTACTTTCCAAGTCTTTTACTTTATCAACTTATTTTGATCAGGTGGCTGGAGACATGCCCTAAACCCTAAACCCTAAAAAAAGAAAAGTAAAGAGAGAATGTTTCCTTTTGATTTATGTGATTTCACTAACTACTCTTTCTGGGAGAAATGTTCAGTGGGGAAAGCGATTTAAAGCATAATCTTGTTCCAACTCTTGTGCAAATTAGAACCTAAGAGCTTGAATAGTCTGGATGACTGTTGCATAAGAAAAAATGGGAGTTGCTTCATAATTTTGTGTAGCCAGCCTCACTTGAGTAGGACACTTAGTTTGGTTTGATTTGTTTTAGTTATTAACATATTCTTCTCTCTTTGATGTAGCAAAAGCTGGTAATCCATCCAACGATACACAAAAGGAGAAATCTGCCAATGTGAAATTATCAAGTTCCTTTACCAATCCTGAGAAATTCATTGAAGAAATATTAGAGAGAACATCTACTATAGTTCTTTCAGAGGTAAGTAGAGTATATGCTATTTGCAATTTCAAAGCCTCTTCTGGTCTAGGACTAAGAAAGCAAACAATACAGATCAAGGAGGAGACTATCAAGCAACATGGGGAACAGCTTGGTACTCTTGTTTCAAACAGTATCAGAAAACATCTTAACTTGGATTTCATTAACCTGGCTGTAAGTCATTTCTTCTCTTTCTTGCTATTTAACACCTCATAAACTCCGAGTACTTAGGCCTCGTTTGAGAATCCTCCCTTTTAGCCAAAAAGTCAAAAAGTTATTAAATTAACCAAAAAGCCAACAACACATACCAAAAAGTCAAAGATTCTCTTTTCTCTCTACTTTTTGCACATCTTTTCGTAAAAAGTGAAAAAGTTATCCCATACATACTAATTTTTTTAGTTTATATTTTAGCCAAATAACCAAAAAGTTACTAAATTAGCCTGTTCCCAAACGAGGCCTTAATTGTAAATACCTACTAAACCGTGCTATGTCTTCTAGGCTAATCAGATATGTTGTGAATTGTGATCATTGCATTTTGCTCAGTCCTTTCATTTTTGTTTTCCCAGCCCTTTCTAGTCAATCAATTTCAATTTTTCTTTCCCTTGACAACTTATAGTAATGAGTGGAAATATATATTGCAGACAATATTAAAAAACACAGCTTATACGGAGGGTTTTCATGCTGGTACTCACCACCAAGGTTCGAGATGTCTCTAATGGTGTCATTTGCGTTAATCATTGCCAAAGGGGAATCATCTATCAGAGCACTGAGCGTTTTTTTATTCTTGCTAGAAAATCCGAACATTAGCAATAACCTCATGTTCTTGCCTTTTGGAGAGAGATTTGGAAAGAGAAAGGGAAAAGGTGTGTGAAACTAGGTGAAATATAAATATATTTTATTTATATTTTACCTACCTTTTCCATTTCTCTTTTCAAATCTTTCTTCAAATCTCTCAACCAAACACAACATGAATGAATTTTTTCATAATACCTCAAAGGCATTATTTGATACCTGTACTGATTTTCATATTTATTTTCAAGTCAGAGCTGTGAGGGTTTTTTTTTTAGCCAATGGGCGTAAACGGATGGTGTGTTTATTAAGTCTAGTTTAAAAAAAATGAACAATTTTAGCCTGTTTATCCTTTGAGTTGATTTCAAATGAGTTTTAATCAAGCCAACGCCAAGTGGCTCGGTTTAGTATATTTTTTTTTATAGTATATATGAGCTTATTGAGTCGAATTCAAAAACTAACAGCCTTCAAAATGTGTTAAAGTGTGATCTGTTTACTTGATAATCCGATCTTGAATAAACTTTTAATAAATCAAACACAAATTGAGTTTGAATAATTTGTTTTGCAACAGTAACTTGGTTGTGTTGGAAAATACAGTGGAATCCAATCGTTAGTTGAGGTGGGTCTGAGTGGGGTTGTATTTTTTTAAGTGAAAAGATTACAATATAAAAATAGTGAGTTGAAACTATTAAATTGTAAATGAGAATTGTCTCATAAAAAGGGTATTAATAAAATTTGGACTTAGTCTTACCTTGGACTGGGCCTAGGCTTGTACTTGTGCATGTGTTGGCTTTGGTCTTGGATTTGGACTTAGACTTGGACTTAATCTGGAGTTTGGGTTGAGCTGGGTTGTGTTGGGCTTAGCTTATGCATGTGTTTGAGATTGGGTTTGGATCGGGTTGTAATCAATATCTATATCCATTTTGCAACCCATTTAGTTAGTTTATTCAAATATCATTATATACATATTTATTTGTATATATTAAGTACATGTAAGGTTTAGACTTTTGTAACTCTCATCTAATGATGGAGTTGATGACCATATTAGTGGCTAGGAATTTTTTAACCTTTGTAACTCTAGTTCTAATGGTTAAAGTTGATGGCCTTAGTAATGGCAATTTAATGACCCTATTAATGTTAGCCTTCATAGTTAAGGCTCTTCCCCACAAGTATAAATAGAGGCTTTTTCCCTTCTACTTAGGTTTTGTTTGGCATGATCTAAAAAAGTTAAAAAATCAAAAAGTCACTATCCTATTTAAATCACATTCACATCACCTCTCTAACACATCACTTCAAAGCCAACCCATACCCAACTCATATTTCATAAAAAGTCAAAAAGTGCATTTATTTAGATCATCCCAAACCACTCTTTAGTAAGTTGTTTTTAAAGATTTTTTGTAATGAAAAATGAGATAGTGTTTAGAGATAATAAAGTTAGAGATTATTTTTATATCAAATAAATTTTTTCTATGGTTTTTTTACTAGTCTTTTTTTTTTTTTTTTTTTGTTAGAGAGAGAGTACTGCTATTGTCAAATTCACCAAAACTATTCAAAAGATACTTCTACATGAGCTAGTTTCAACCATCGCATCTTGGGTGACACCAGCGTACCTCCAATATCCAACGGGAGGCGGTGAATCTATCTTAAGAAAACTGTGATATCACATGGGTATCGGTTTACGTCTCTTATCTTTTGTTCATCAAACTTCTAGATTTAAACTATTTCTTGCATATTATTTTGTATGTCTATGTGGATCCATATTGTAATATGTTTATGATATAATCTAGTTCATTCCTATATTCTTAGTTTTGTAGTTTATTCTATATTTTATTCTTTAATAAAAAAATTATTTTGTCATTTCTATTTAATTTGTTTATATATTTTTATAGTATTATTATGAAAAAACACCAACAGTTTGTTTATACTTTTGAACCAAAAACTCGCTTTGTCATTCATTATAACAATCAAAAACAATTTTAAAATGCTTTCTAAAAGTGGGTAGGGTGTAAAAATGGTCCGTGGCCCGAAACCTGCCCAAGGCTAGAGGTGGGCCCACTCAAAGCTTGGGACCTGGGCATGGGCTGTCATTTTGAAGCCCGGCTTGGCCTGTGGGCTTGGCTTGCCTGGCCCAGCCTATGGCCCCGCCTATCGGCCCACTCGAGACCCACTCAAAACTCAGCCCGAGACTCAGTGTCATTTTTAGTAGAAAATAATAAAATTTTAGTAGAAAAAATAGAAAAAAAAATGTTTAGACATGCTCAGGCCCAGCTCAAGCCCGAGCCCAGGCATAGGCCCGAGGCCTAGCCTATACAAGACCTAGATACCCCCTGGGCCCGTGCCAAATTTACACCTCGAAAAGCAGGATATTCTAAATAAAAATAAAAAAAAATCATGAACAGTTTGTCAAACGTTTTTTTTTTTCATTTTCCTAGTTTGCAAGAATATAAAACAATTTTAGCAAAAGAAAATTGTTTGACACACAAGTATTTAAAAAAAAAAAAACAGGTAGCCATAAAATGATAGTGAAAATAGTGGGAAACACTTTAAACCTTCAACAGTAACAAATTTCAAGTGGTTTATTATCAATCAGAACAATAATCATTGTACATATTAAAAAAGAAAAAAGAAGAAAACCAAACGTAAAATTAATCTTCTTTTCTTTTCTTTTTTTGTCGGAGGATCCTTGTAGAAATTGATGTACACGAAGTAGTCAAAGGCCTGCAGCAACAAACTATCGCCCTCATTAGAGAAAAAGACTACCATTCATCGAGAAAATTCACCTATATCTTGACATAAAGAAGAAGGAATAAATCATTGAACAAAAATGTTAGTACATCACCGGTTGGATGCTTGGGATTGGTTTTTGTGTTTGGAAGAAATTATATAAGAGAAAAATAACGGAGAGTGATCTTGCCATGAATGCAGTGAAATTAACGATAATAAAAATCATGACATATAACATTTCGCACCATCGAATTATTCGATGATAGTAACATGGAGCGATTAACAATATACAGCAGCCAAAAGACATACCATATAACCCAACATTGAGACAGTAGCTTCGTTTTGCTGATGCCCATTCATATTTATGTATGCAATTAGCCGTTGTTTCAATGATGAACATTACTTCTTCTGGCATTGAGTGTAACATTATGGGCTAAAGAATAAAGCAAGAGCCCGACAGTGAGTCAGCTGCTGGAAACAGGCAAAGATCACATGAAGGGTTCAGAACAAAAACAATCATTGAGGTTATAATGAACTAAATAGCAGTCAAAGACTATAGTTTGATTGATCCTACTAAAAATTTATGTCAAAAGATCATCTTCCTAAGACAAGCAAGTTCATCGATTTGGTGTTCTATGCTATTAATTTTGCCAACAAACTGCTAGGTTTTCATCTTCCTAAGACAAGCATGTTCATCGATATGGTGTTTCCTGCAATCACTTTTGCCAACAAACTGCCAGGGTTTTCTGCTCTATGTAAGGATTCACTTCGTTGAGTTAATGGTGAAAACAACAGTGTGATGTATATGCGTTAAGATTTGGCAATTTCTTTTGAATCTATCCCTCATGAAAGTTCAATTCTTTTCAACTTCCTTCCATTATTCCTTTGATTATAAACACAATTTCATTTTGTCATTCCAACTCGCAACAAAAATGAAGAAAACTGAATATCTTTCAATGGAGTTCATGGAAGAGAGATATAGTAGTGATCGATGCATAAAACTTGATATGACGATGTCAGTATATTTCATCAAGAATACCATTTACTTGCACTTCTTGATTATTCATTGGACATTTGATCTTACTACTTTGAGTTTCTATTAACATTAGGTTTTTTTCATGAACAAATCGCTTTCTAGAATTAATATTACTTAATAAAGAGGAGATATTGTTCCCATCCCTCACAAATAGATATCAATGCCTTCTCAAGAAACAAATTTAATTTAAGTTTTTCAGAGTTCAGACAAACTTTTTCAATTCAGCCTGCTAATATCATCTTCATTGCTAGTTGGGCTCTTAATTTCTAACAGATACAATCTACTTGCTACATTTGGAAGATGAACCAGAATAGAATCATAAATTTCACGGATTAAACTTGCACAGCTATGTCAACGCTAAGAAAACTAAACTCTCACCGCCATGAGTAGTAATGTTACTGCCGTGGGGATTCGATTGCTGTCTCAACCTCCAGCACCGTCTGTCCCTAACTCGTCCTCCATCAATCGAATCCTCAGCTTCATTGTTATCTTCAACTCTGCCCTCAACTGCAACTGGCAGTTCATGCCGACAAACAGGACATGAGTTGTGAAGCTTCAACCAAGGATCAATGCAATCAGAATGATATATGTGCTTGCAAGGAAGTTCCTTCGCATCACCACCGACCTTAAATTCCTCCTTGCAAACAGGGCAATGCGCATCGTTAACCAAATGGTCCGGCATGATTTTCACAATCGGCAAGGCATCGATAGCTGAATCGGGTGCTGGGGGAGGACCTTGTCGGTCATTCTGTGTCAGTTGTTCGATCAACTCGCTTAACCCCGGCCCAATAAAGTAATCCCGAGGATTAACCGTCCGAAGCATCAAACCTTCCTCTTGGGAATTTTGTTGAATAGGTAGAGGACCAGCAGGCCTGAGGATAACCCAGGTCCGGGGACGAGCAAGAATTCCAGTTTCCGATCCCCAATCATCATCAAAAACCCGGTTTCGCCTCCACGGCCAAGGCCAATGCCAGCCCCGAATTCCACTCTCCGGCAACCTATGATCTCTTCCATGGAAATCATTTCGTCGCTCCCAAGGGGCACGAAATCGAATATCCGGTAAAGGACTCTCCCTCGGCTCGATAGGGCGATTTTGCTGCCCCATCAAAGGATCAAACATGAGAGAGAGTGCTTCCAATATACGGGCCTCCGGGGAGGGATCGAATTGGGTGAAATCATCAACAACAACCACAGGTCTGGCTCTGTCAATTTCATATAGAAACTGTCCGAAACAGCGAGGGCAGGCGATATCAGATGGGTTTTCAGATGCAATCCTGACAGTCCTGTGGCACTGGTAACACCAGTAGAGCGGGTAGTTTCTGTTTCCATTATTGGTCTCGCGAGGAGGGCTCAAAGACATGAATAGGATTGAGTGAGATCTTTGAAATTGAAATGGGTTTCACTGTTTTTGTGTTGAAAGAATGAAAAGTAGATGAGAAATTGAAATGGGTTGATATATATAGTGTATAAAGAATGGGGTAATGGAAGAAAGAATAGCTTTTTGGAGTTGCAGAAAGAGATTTCACTTTCTTTTTTCTCTGCGGAAGGCAATTTGGGTTGGCGTTTCTTCATCGATTCTGTTTCTTGATTAGAGAGGAAAGGATGAGTGATGTACTGGGCAAAGGCTTCTCAATCTCGTTGAGAGGTTTTGTTATTCTTTTTGTATGTTTAAATTTTTTTGTTATTCTTTTTGTATGTTTAAATTTGGAGGGAATGGTAACGGCTAACTAACACAGCAAAGGACGTTAGAATCTCTCCTTGGAGCAATTTTTTGGATCGCGGTTAGGTTCTTGTCAAACAATGCTAGTCTTAAATTCGAGTCAACTACATGGCACTATATGATTGTTCGGTTAATTTTAAAAGGGTTATTGACTAACAAGTCTTATGTGCCTATTTGGTAATACTTAATTTTGATTTAAATCAATTTTTGGCTTAATATAAATTATATTTTAGAGTCTTTGGTTGAGCTTATGAGAGATAGATTAGAGCTTAAATTAATTGATTTTGAGCTAAAAGTTGTAAGCTGAGTTTGAGGTGCTTTTTTTTTCCAACTTATGTGCGCAGTTGGTTGTGGAAGGGTGAAATGACTTAAATGTCCCTCTAAAATTTCAAAAATTACCAAAATACCGATATATAAACCTAACAATCAAACACTTTTCACGTAGAGAGAGAGAGAAAGAGAGAGAGAGAGCGAGCGTGAGAGGCGATTTCCGGTGACGATTTCCGACTAAGATTTCGAGTTGTTCTCTCTCTCTCTCTCTCTCTCCGATGTTGATTCGTCACTCTATTCTCTCTCTATCTCTCTCTCTCCAGTGTTGGTTTGTCGCTCTGTTCTCTCTCTGTCTCTCTCTCTCTCCGGCGTTGGTTCGTCGCCATCGTGATCTGAACCAACGTCGTCCTTGCGATTTACGTTGTTGTTGGTTACTCTCTCTCTCTGTGCCTCCATCGTCATCCCCTTCACGTAGAGAGAGAGAGAAAGAGAGAGAGAGAGCGAGCGTGAGAGGCGATTTCCGGTGACGATTTCCGACTAAGATTTCGAGTTGTTCTCTCTCTCTCTCTCTCTCTCCGATGTTGATTCGTCACTCTATTCTCTCTCTATCTCTCTCTCTCCAGTGTTGGTTTGTCGCTCTGTTCTCTCTCTGTCTCTCTCTCTCTCCGGCGTTGGTTTGTCGCCATCGTGATCTGAACCAACGTCGTCCTTGCGATTTACGTTGTTGTTGGTCACTCTCTCTCTCTCTCTGTGCCTCCATCGTCATCCCCCATCCCCCATCGCGATCAGTCGTGCGAGGCGATCTCAAATCCTAACGTCGCCACATTGTCACTGTGCCTGCCAAAGCTAGGGTTTTCAATGTTTCTTTTACTTTTTATTTTGAGGTTTTCAATGTTTTTTTAATAAAAATAACAATAATAATAAAGCATTTTAGCCATTAATGAAATAAATTTTATATTAATCGATACTAATTAATAATTTTAGTATTAATTAATGCTAAATTAAGCCATTAATTGACACTAATTAATTTATAATGAAAAAATGAAATAATTTTATACTAATTGATACTATTAATGAAAATAATAATTTTTTTAATACTAATTATATTAACTTTTATTAATGAAATAATTTTTTTAAAATTAAAACTATAAAAAAATGACAAAATAATCATTTTTATATCATTTAAGGACAAAAAGGACAATTATGCAACAAAATGTTATTTTTCAGCTTATCAACCAAACACTACTCTGCTGCTTAAATTCATAATCTCACAGCTGCACCAAACAGGTTAATTGTTTATGTTCACAGCTATAAGTTATAATTTATAATCACTTTTTCATAACTCTACCAAACAGGGCTTATATTTTGGACTTGTAATCTATATAGTCTCATATTTTATTTTATTTTTTGGATCCATTTAGTCCTTTTGGATATGTAATGACTCATTTACCCGTCACATTGGAGTGTCACATTTAGAAAAAAAAAAGTACACTAAAGAGTTTTTAAGTGGCATATCATACTCGCCACGTTAGAGTGTCACATTTGAAAAAAGTACACTAAAGAGTTTTTAATTTTTTTAGATTGTCACATCATACTCGTCACGTTGTTACGTTTGAAAAAAGTACAATAAGAAGTTTTTAATTTTTTTTGAAGTGTCACATTATACCTGTCACATTGTCACGTTTGAGAAAATTACACTAAAGAGTTTTTTTTTTTGAAGTGTCATATCATACCTGCCACGTTGTCACGTTTGAGAAAAGTATACTAAGAATTTTTTTTTTGAAGTGTCATATCATACTAGCCACTATCACATTTTAAAAAGTACACTAAGGAGGAATTATTTTTTTTTAGAGTAAAAGTTTTGGAGTGTGACATCATACCCGTCACGTTGTCACATTTAGAAAAAGTACACTAAGAAATTTTTAATTTTTTTAGAGTATCACATCATTAGAGTGTGATATTAATACCTGCCATATTTGAGTATCACATCATACCTGTCATATTAATAAAATGGTATAACTATCTACCAAAACACTGTCAAAATAAAAAAATAGGACCACATGGAAAGAAACTCTCCACTAATAACACTTAATAGATTAATAAAAAAAATTTGGAATTAATTAGTACTTGGGATTTATTATTAAATATCCCATTTTTAAAATCTTAAAATTAGTTGAAACACACCCAAACTTCAGTTATCTTCAGGGGTGTAAATTTTGGCCCGACCCATGTCGGGCCTCATGAGTTTTAGCCAAAATTCGGTTCGGGCCGGGCTGTGGGTCCGAAAAATTAGGCCTAGGCCTAGGCCCAGAGGATAGTTGGACCTTGGATGGGTCAGTGGGCCTGGGTCTAGGCTCAGACTTGGACGGGCCTGAATATTTTTTTTTGTTTTTTTAAATTTTTTTCTACTAAAATTTTATTATTTTTCACTAAAAAAGACACCGAGCTTCGGGCAAGTTGGGTGGGCCGAGCCTCGGGCAAGGTATTGAGTGGACCTTAAGTGGACTGATGGGCTGGGCTAGGCGGGCCGAGCCAAGTTTGAAAATGATAAGCTAGGCCCAAAGTCTCGGACTAAGCTCAGGCCCGGGCCTATCCCGGGCCGTAAGCGAGCTTTGCGCCACCCACGGGCCGCATGCCATTTTTACACTACTAAATACCTTGTTATCTATGGAAAAAAACAAACAAACAAACAATGTTGGATGAGTAACTGCACATAATATGCACATATATATTAATTGGGACTAGAATCTCTCCAATTAGTTATTCTAATTCGACGGTTTAGTTTGTAATTGGGACTAGAATCTCTCCAATTAGTTATTCTAATTCGACGGTTTAGTTTGGCTTATTTTAGATTCATTTTGTGTTCGTCTTGATGATTCAACCATTCAATATGTAGAACTCGTTGAGTTTTTCATATTTGTAAAAATTACGTTGCTAGGATATCAATAGCCAATTGATCATATCACATTTATGTCAACAATTTATTTTTGAAATCATACTTATCATTGACATAAATTTGAATAGATCAAGTGGCTATCAATATCTGATTAACGTGATTTTTTGTATGGATGAAATACTTGACGAGCACTATACATTTAACAGTTCGAATTATCAATGTAGGTTCTGCGATAGGCCCACAAAAGCCCCATAAGTCCATGTCATATTAATTTATGTTATTGAAATTTAACCTTTGAAAAAATGAATTCTAACTAAACATCACATTGGGCATAACCAAAGAGTTTTTGGATTATAACCAAAATAATATCATAATCTGAGGCTTCGTTTGGGAACAAGCTAATTTAGTAACTTTTTGGCTATATGGCTAAAATATGAGCTAAAAAAAACTAGTATGTTTGGGATGATTTTTTGACTTTTTACGAAAAGATGTGCAAAAAGTAAAGAGAAAAGAGAATCTTTGACTTTTTGGTATGAGTTGTTGCCTTTTGACTTTTTTAGTAATTTTTTGACTTTTTAACTAAACAGGCTGATTCACAAAAAGTTATAACTAACTTCATAATATGTATAATTAACTCATAATTAACAATATAATAGATCATAACTAAAAACTACAAAGGTTGACACACACCCTTTTAGAAATTCCCAATAACTAATATTATACTTATGGTGGATTCAACTGCCTAATATAGTTTTGTGCACATAATGAGACATATTTTATTTATGTTAGTATTTTACCTAACTAGAAGTAAGCACACATTTCACGTGTGAAATTTAAAAAAATAGTTATTTGAAGTAATTGTTTCTGATTATTATAGATATTTTATTTGAAAGAATTAAAATAATTTAGAACAGTTATAATGTTTTTGGTATTTTAAGAAAAGAAAAAAAAAGTGTGACAATTTACACCAAAAATTATTGGTTCACTTTCATTGTCATTTCTTGTTTTTTAATGAGGAAGTTTGTATTCTGTGATTTTGTGCCATGATGTTGCTGTACATAGGACTTTTTGGCTTTTTACAAAAAGATGTGTAAAAAGTAGAGAGAAAAGAGAATCTTTGACTTTTTAGTCTGGGTTGTTGGCTTTTGACTTTTTTAATAACTTTTTGACTTTTTGACTAAACAGGCTGGTTCACAAAAAATTATAACTAACTTCATAATATGTATAATTAACTCACAATTAACAATATAATTGATCATAACTAAAAACTACAAAGGTTGACACACACCCTTTTAGAAATTCCCAATAACTAATATTATACTTATGGTGGATTCAACTGCCTAATATAGTTTTGTGCACATAATGAGACATATTTTATTTATGTTAGTATTTTACCTAACTAGAAGTAAGCACACATTTCACGTGTGAAATTTAAAAAAATAGTTATTTGAAGTAATTGTTTCTGATTATTATAGATATTTTATTTGAAAGAATTAAAATAATTTAGAACAGTTATAATGTTTTTGGTATTTTAAGAAAAGAAAAAAAAAGTGTGACAATTTACACCAAAAATTATTGGTTCACTTTCATTGTCATTTCTTGTTTTTTAATGAGGAAGTTTGTATTCTGTGATTTTGTGCCATGATGTTGCTGTACATAGGCAATAATAATAATAATAATAATTCAACTGTTAAGTTTAAAACTGAAATAAAATGGTTTTAGAATTACATATTTTAAAATGGCAGACTTTAAACCAATGACACTTCTTTTAGTGATAGTTCAGTGGCTAGCCCATGGGCCATTCTCAACCTAATGGGCTTGCATTGAAAAGTTTATGCCCAAATGGAATGTTTTCAGACAATTCTTTGT